ATTCATTCATTCATTCATTTTGCAGCTTACTGGTACAGGGATTGGAACCTTTGACCTTGGTGTTATAACTTTGTGCTCTAACCAACTGAGCTAACTGGCCAGCTGTTTTATGTATTTTAAACACTTTTATAATGTAAGGAAAACATTACAATATATTTTACTGATGGCAAACTATTGCTTTTTATGATTCACATGGCCTCTATTAGTGCCAGAAACCTCTCTGATGTTCACTTGGTTGACATTCATGTGATTTTTAAAACTTCTATTTGTGGTTTTGAAATTGGATTAACTGTATTTGACATGTAATTTCAGACTTTCTCCTCCACAAAATTTTGTTAAAAGTATATTTAGTTCTGGGGGCGTATATGTATCACTTAGCATTCCCATGTAAGAAATCAAACAAAACTCAATGGCTAAAAAAAACAAACAAACAAGGATTTTATTTGCTTGGAGTTCTATGGATCCACGTTTTGGGGTGCATTCAATGGGGGCAGTTCTCATGCTGGCATTGCCTAAATTACGAATGAGGCTTTAGTCACCTGGTGCTTTGATGGAGGCTCGTTGGTTCAAGATGGCTTCACTCACATGTCCTGCGGTTTGTGCTGACTCTTGGCTGGATGCTGTATCTCCAACAGGATAGCCCAAGGCTTCTTCACAGTATGACTGAGTTTAAGAAGGCAAGCACTAGTGGCAAGTCCTTTTAAAACCCATGTTCATCTCACATTTTCTAATGTGCCATCAGGCAAAGCAAGTTAAATGTCCTGTTCATTGATACACCAGGAGGGCTTGGATGCAGGGAGACCTGCCAGTGGGAAACATTACTGGACTAGTGTATCACAAGAAATATATATTATGTACATTTTTTAACCTATATAATCATGTGACAATGATGTTTGATTGCAGGTTTCATACTTTCCAGATGTTTAGGTACATAAAAGCAAGATGTGTTGTAGTGGAAACACTCAGATGGAGACCTGTGTGAACTCTATGTATTAATAGAAAAATAGTCAATACAGCCTAAGTATATTCCTATGACATTAATTTTAGTGAAGATATACTGTTTTCTTATTTGGTTTAAATTATTAAATTACATCTTTAGGTAACTTTAATTCTTGCTTCATCAGTAGGTCATGTATGTTTTCATTAACTCAAAAATTAATTGTATGTCTAATGTATACCAATTAATGTACTTGCCAAGGAGCAGGGTAGGGGGTCAGTAGATGGAAAATTAATACAATGGGTCATCACAGGTGAGGGGATTCTGGTTAAACCAGCCTAACAGGATTCTTGCTAGACAGGCCAGGGTGATCAGACATCACCTGGGAGGTGTGGGGGGGTAGGGGATGAGGAGCCCATCAGATATAGAAGGTGGTCAGATATGGAGGGAGGGGACTTTTTGCTAAACTGACTTTTAAAAGGTTCTTCCTAAATCTGGATTTTACAAGGAAGTGTTTACATGGCCCTAGGAGAAGCTTCAGGAAGCTGACCGAAGCTTGGCAGGCAAAGAATCTCTGTCACCTCACGGGTGCCACATGCTTGAGGATGGGTCTATTGGTCTTGGTCATCCCTACTGGAGACCCACTGCTCACCAAAGCCCTTGGAAAATGCTTTGTCATTCCTGGAGCACCTTCTGGGAAGGGCAGCCTGGGGGCTTGGGGAACTGAGGAACTGGGGTGAGGCAGAACATGGCACAGAACCAGGATCTGGCCGGGATCCAGGGACAAGACCATCCCTGTTGGAGCTGTGAGCTCCTCATCTGTGAGTGGGGCTGGAGAAATTGCCCTGGCTGTGGGGAGGAGGCCCTGCGAGAGACCTGGGCACTCCAAGGCCAGTGGAGGAATAGAGGGGAGCATGGGAGGCTTCTGAGGTCCCTCTCATCATCGTCCCTGGAGTCTGCAGGTCTGCCCTTTGCCCCCATTGGCTGAAAGCCCCACTGTATTGAGGACATCCAAAGGTGGGCTGCAGAGCTAGCGCTGACCACCAGGGGGCGGCAGTGTGCGCTGTGCTCAATGGAGCAATTGGAGCCAAGAGCCGAGGGTCATTCTGGCGCCCTGTGGCCAATCCCCCATCTCCTCCTATAATTATCACCCATCCCACAGTGTGATCTGTTCAGAGGCAGAGACTGGGCTCCAAGATCCTCTCATTGATTCATTCAGCAGCTGCGCCTGAACACTTGCCCTGGGCAGGGGCCATGTGAGGCCTGGGTGTGGCTCTCCTGGGTGTCCCTGCCCCCAAGAGCTCACAGTCCACAGGGGAGATAGACAGAAATTAGAAAACGAATCCACATGGAGGACAGTGGTCACATCACAGTTCCTCACCACGGCCTGACAGCTTCCCCTTAGTACCCAGCATGGATGTCCCCACTTTTGACATCCCACCACCATAGTGAGGAAGGCACAGTCCCAGACCCTGCCCCGCGTGCCCACCCTGCCCTCATGGGGTCCCAGCAATGGAGCAGCGAGGACCTGGTCTATTTAACTGTCTCACCTCCTGGGTAGGGGATGTCTGAGTCTCTGGTGGCCACTACAGGAAGCTGGCAGGGTTAAAGGGTGGCCCTGGGACCCTGACCCCAGATAAGACAGAGGTGGGAGTGTACTCAAGAGAGGTTGCAGCCCCTCAGTACTGTGAGCTGGGCCAGGGCATTGACAGCCTGGTTCTTCCATGTGCCCGCAGCGGCATGACCATTGATAGGTGGCTTTTCTCTCAGCCTCCACAGAAATACCAGCCAAATGGCCAAAGAGCATTTTCACAGCCCAGGTCGTGGCTGGCCTGGTGGCTGGGCAATCCCTGGGGGGGTGCCATTGTTGCGAGGTTGTCACCCAGGAAAGGAACCAAACACTTAATTAAGAATTTTAAGAGTCTTTATTAGCCAGCTAGTGACTGCCTCCCCTAGGTATTTTGGTGGGAGAGCAGCAGCTAGCCTTGGTCTGGTGGAGTTTATAAA